TAAGGGTGTTTGGCATCTTGTGCTTACTTCCTTGCGTACGGATGACAGCTGCGTATGACTTAACTTATTTTCTGGTGCTTTCACTTCCAGAGACAGTTACAGTAGAGGTCCCTGTTTGGTGCCGGGGTGTGCGCAAAAATTCCACCGGCACTATTCTTCAGAGTGCCTGAAAAGTGCCAAAGGGGCACTATTCAGGGTCTGAAAATCCCTCATTAGTGCCAGACCGGCACTATTGACGAACTGTGTGATTTCAGAGTGCAGCGCTTTGCTTTGCGGGGCCAACAGAGTATCACATGAAACGTACATGGTGAGATCATGGCATGGGCATCGCGGGCAGACTGCTGTGCCACGATAGGGGTGGCTCCTGCCCTGTCGAACACACATATTTTGCTTAATAAGTTAACTGGACGGGACACACATGCTGCACACTTGCAAAACCTGACTTAAACCCTTCACATTGATATCGCGAAGGATGCACCTCATAGAGGTCCAATATTTTGATGGCAAGAATGCCGTGGCACTGGCCTTCAACGGATCAAACCATTTCGCGCAACCTCAACATCACTCCTCGACAGCGAAAGCAAACCACTGATCATGAAGCCCATGGATTTTTGGCGGAAACACTTTTGCGAAGCTCCTGCTGGCACAACCTATTGGTGAAGAAGGAAGCTAAATCTGTCTCTTCCTCACCCTCGTTCGATGTAGCCAGAACAAGAAAAAAAAAAAACACGACCGCAAGAACGGGACATGCAAGAAATCAAACAGCCGCTGTAGCGGTAACCCCCGCCCTCACTACGTCGCGATAAATTCCCGCATGTCTGCCTGGCGAGCCCGCTTTGCGGTATGCGCTGCGATCATCGCCATCCTCGCTTTCGACAGTTGGTACACGGCGTCTCCGTTGCCACTCTCCTCCGCTGCCGCCCCTAGGTACCCCAAGTGAGACAACAGTTCAGCGTAACCCGGTGGGGCACGCCGCCCGCGGCCCGCGTTTTCATCGTCGCTACCCCCCTCCTCTTCGTCGTCTTCTTCGTCCTCCTCTGACCCGGTAGACACGTGCGACCCAGCTAGCTGTGCCGTCATGTCGTCCACCGCGTCCTGCCGAAAAGCTTTTACCACTTCATCGTCGTCCTCAATGGCCTCGCGGCTGACGCTACTAGCCTCGCCATGAAGTCTCGTGCTCTGAATGTTGTTGCGCTTCACGAAGTTCCTGGCCCACTTATCGCCGGCCTTGAATTCCTGGAGCCTCGCTCTGACTCCTGCAGGAGTTGTGGGCTCAGCTAGCAGGGTTGCCTTGGCGGAGCCGCCGAAGCTTCGAATGACGTCGCGTGTGACAGACATCTTGGCTTTCCGGGCTTTCTCGAGTAGATCAAGAGCAATGGCATCCACCTGCCGTCAAACAAAGAGTATCACAAGTTTCAAGAGGGTAGAGATAATCCAATTATTAGCTTCGAATATTATGTTAACGTGCATCGAACATTGTGCTGCGCATTCAGGCTGGACCTCGTAGTTCGTAGCGTTGAGCTGCTTATTGCTTTGTTTTTTCGAGCATTGTTCCCATTTGTTTGTTTCAAGTACACTCTGAAGGAAAATACTTTGTTTAATACGCAGGAAAAAGCGACAAACGTGCACACTGCATATTACGTATGTGTACTGGCATGCACAGTTGTGCGTGCGGATGATTTTTTTTGACAGCTCAAGAAAACAAAAAAAGGGTACCATGCAAGGGAGGAGAAGAGAAGAGCTTGAACAGATTCACACAAAAAATTGACCTCGAAAGAAGGAGAAGGTCTCGTAAAAAAATGAGTCTCGAAAAAAAGTATTCTGAAACACCAAACAAACAAGTGCAGCAACAACAGGAGATTGACATCAGTTTAGCGCACCTTGGGATAATCTCCTTCCTTGCTGCCGCTGCCTGCTGCAGCAGCCTCGTTCTCCACCTTCTCCCGCTCGGCCTTCACTTTGCGGATCAACCGTTCCGAGCACCCGAAGCGGTCTGCTATCTCTCCTCGAGAGAGCTTCTGGTGTACGTCCAGCCGCTTGCGAGCTTCGTTCTTACTCCCCTCTTGTGCTTTCGGGCGTTTAGATTGCCCCTTCCCAGCACCCTCTGCTGCTCTCGCTTTGCGCTTGCCAGTGTTGGCTACGCACGTACTGCAGATGCAGTTCAGCTCGCTGTCGTCAAACATGCTTCCGCATTCGCCATGGAGCCGCCGGCCGCATCGTCCCCGGCAGATGTGGCCATTAGGGGCTTGTGGCGTTCTGTCCGGTACGCGGCACAGGTCACCTTCCGGACATGGCATGGTGCGCCTCTCCGTAGAGCTGTTCGGGTCTGCAGCAGCACGTGTACCCTCTCCTCTGTGTCTGTCTTCTGTGTTGTGTGTGTCTCTTGTGTGTTGTGTGTGCGTGCGTGCTTAAACCGGCACTATTTTGGGGTTCATTCAGTGGGGCCCGAACCGGCACTATCGTGGGCAGCCCTGAATAGTGCCGGTCTGGCACTGTTCAGGGCGGATTCTGTGCGCCTAGATTTGACCGGCACTTTACCGGCAACCGGCACTATTCGACCGGCACTAAACAGGGACCTCTACTGTGTAAGCACTGTGCAACTGCCTCGAGGGTGCTTGACCATTTTAACACAACGTGGTGCGATCATCCTCCTTGCGCGGAGTGAGGGTTCTCGACCCCGCACAACATGATCAATTAGACCACCATTATGGTTACCGCCCCCAACAAAAAACAGAGGTAAAAAAAAAAATCGGTAACCTGGTTGTCGAGTTCACGAAGTCAATTGGCTTGTGTTACAACGTCGTTGCCAATCGACGAAAACCCAATCCCGATGGTAAACACCGGGGGGGAAGGGGACACCGGGGGGCGGCGGCTTGTTTTACAACATCGTTGCCAAGCGACCAAGACCCAACCCCGATGACAAACACAGCAGCTGCTGGCGTTGTGTTCGTTGTTATATCATGAAAAAGAAACACATGGTACCAAGGTTTCCCGGTAAACGCCTTCTGACCAAAGTGAGCAGCACCTTGGTGATACAAAGGGGTCCCTGCTTAACCGGTATTATACCAGTATGCACCCAGAAAATTCATTAGCACAAATACCGGGCCGGCACTATTCAAACGGCTTGCTCTTCGACCAAACACTACAGCAACAGCAGCTACAGCGTGGAGGAGGAGCAATACATGTAGCGGCATCGACAAACCAGACAGCGCGGTCGGTCTCACCCACAGAGCCGTCGAAGCAACCATACACAATAGCCTCTCTTTCTCTCTCTCTGTCTCTCTGTATCTCTCTCTCTCTCGCTCTGCTTTTTGGTGGAACCGATGATGCCCAAGGCGCGCGGGCGTCACGGCGTCACAACTCTTTTCAACAGCTCTTGGACATTTTTAGGGAGAAAAGAGGGGTATTGGCCGGAATTATTTTGCCCCCATCTATTCCCCCAGGCCACCCGAGCTTTCCCCGGCCGTGTGGTTGAGATTTTCTTGCAACTGGTTTGACAAGTGCTGTGGGGCCAGATTCCCAGAAAACAACAGAATGGCCCGCAAGGTCCAGCATGTTCTTTGTCCCCTGTGGAATACTATGGCAGGCATTTTGTTTTCCTCATTTCCATGTCCGCCATGAGCCCGAAATACTTCCGTTCCCCCCGTACCGTCGTGCACACTGCTGTGATGTATGGGACGGGTTGAAGCCAACGCCAACACACAAAGAGTAGTGGTTCATGCTCTATAGCAGTACTCGCCTTACGAATGTCGCGCCGCACTATCCCTCTGGCCCCTGCAAGTCGTGTACATGGACGAACCAGAGCGAGGGTTGTACGGGGGGGTGGGGGGTGGTGGTCCGTACAAATCATAATTGAGGCAAAAAGGATGATAAATGACAAATTGACGACAAAGAACAACGTAAGGCCACGTTATACTGGTTTCAATATCTGCAGCCTAAACACCCTTTCGCCTCCCGTGCAATAGCTCAACTTTGCGAAAGAATAACGCAGTCTCCCGAGGTGCGGGAGCATATCCAATGGCACAAATAACCTGTGTGCGTCAAATGACTACTGCTGTACGTACGAAGGTCTACGCGTGCTTTTGAATGTGTGGACTTAGTAACGCCATCCTCTTTCCCTGAGGCGCAACCTCGGAGACGGCTAAGACTATCGCTAGGGGCGCCGGGAAGAGAACATCCTACGTGCAGTAGAGTAGTCCACCAACCACACATGCGTGATCTAACGTTACATACGGGGTCAAAGCCGCTTGTTTGGTAAACTCTGCCAACAAGGAAAATAATTCCGTTCCAATGAAAGTGCGGTAAAGCGTGGCGCGTGGACTACACACGGGACAATGCCATACATGTCCGCTCGCGGGAAGGGGGTGTGCTCCGAATCTTAGTCTTTGGAATCTTCAAAAAAACGAGAATACTCAGATACTTCGGTGCGGGTATGCATATCTATATGCTAAAGACGGGTCCTCGCGCGGGCGGCCAGAGAATTCCTAGTAAGTTGTCCTTCTTGTTCGTCTTCGCCTTCCGGCCTCCGCTAAGTACCTTCTAAATGTCCGTACTGGTCCAACTGACGCGACCTTTCCGTGGTTACACGCCAACTACCCCCAAAAGGGGGTAAACCTCGACCTTTCTTCCGTGCATACTTCGACTGCAAAAGAAAATGGAACCCGGAGGAGTCCTACACCAAGACGCGAGTTGTTACCCAAATGTACACAGTCACCCAATCACCCTTGAAAAGAAGGGGCCCTTACGGTGTTGTTGTTGTTGTTGTTGTTGTCTTCACATTAAACACCGCTCCGATCTCTCTCTACCCAGTACCTTCGTATGTCCGTACTGATCCAACACTCGACGCGGTGGATTTCGGTGGTCGCAGGCTAACTTACCCTAAAAAGGTACGCTCAGAGTAACACCAATCTTGTGAAGATACGCAGGCAGCCGTCGCAATGTATACTGCTGCAACCAACAACAGCGCTCATTTTCCACCACCGGTGCCACCACCGGTGGGCGGGTGTGATGCACACACGAGCGCTCAAACTAGTACAACTACGGTAGAGACCTAACAACCCCTGGCGTTGCTACTGCTGTGCCTCCCTATTGTACAGCAGTTCCGACTACACACGCAAGTCATCAGGCAAGGCAACATTTCTCTTCCCGCTGCGTGGTGTGGATATCCGCCTCTTTAAACACTAGGAAGAAGTACAATCAGTCATAACCTGCTCGACGAGCCGGGGATCTAATGGTGGGTGCGCGCTGCTGCCGCCGCAGCTGGTGTTGGGTGTGGTATTGCCTCCGCGTTCGAAACCCGGTTCGAGATCCAAGTCCCCTCGTCCGTACATACCGACCGTCCGTGTCTACGTAACTAGGGAGAGTTTTCGATTGTCAAAAAGAACCCTAGCGGGAAATAACAACGTGTGTGTATTCGTCCCATTTGCGCGCATAGCGCATGAAGCATCGAATACGTACCACGCATTGAGAGGGAATGAAAAGTTCAAATCGGGCGACAGAATCTCCGCCCCTCCTTCCTTGTGTCAAAAAATATATATGTATATATGTACCATGGTAACAAACAACGTGATGATCCACGAGGAGACCAGAAGTGCTCCTGAAAGCAAAGCAACCGCTGCAACTCAAGGGAGGAAGTACCACCCAGTGAACCAAAACTAAACTCGGTACATGCATACATGCGAAGTGCCGGCGTGAGCGCACCACCATTGGCCATTGTTTCCATCGTTTCGCCGGACCAACCACCATTTTTTGTTGTCAACTTTTTCAACTTCGTATTTAAAAAAACGCTTTTGGTGAACATCATAATTTTACTTGCTGCCCAGCTCACGCCAGAAGGTGGCAGGGCGATAGGTCCTTGGAGAGTGTAGATATCCACACCTCCCTACAACGCCGTTTGGTATCTCGCGTGTCCACGTGTCCACTCACACGCCTGTGCGCGTTGGGCGCGTATGGAGAGGAATTGAATGAGAGAGCAGATTATTTATTGATTCCAGAACGAATGCAAAGGCTTGTTCCGTGGTCTGAACGTACGGTTCAAAAAAACTTCGCTTTCCCTCCCTGTGTCCGACTCGGGGCGTTGGCTTCTCGCCTCTGCCTGAGGTCGGCCAAGGAATGGAAAACATCGTCGAGTCGACTGCGGCTGCTATTGTGTACACATCAGGAGGCAGAGAAAAGCGAGAGGGAGATCACAAACGAATATTCTCAGGTACTTGTTGTCGGGGCGGCAGCGGCACGCGTCACATTTGCTCTTGCATTCTTGACAAAAAGCAGCGCGGGCTTTCACACACGAGAAACTCGTGCAAACATGCCCCCTGCTGTAAGCAAAGAGAAGCAAGGCCCGCTACAGTACACACATCACATGTCTCCCCAAGCGAAGACTTGAGGCACCCCCCCGGGACACCAGACCCAGCGACACGGAAATCACCTTTCTCAAGCGAGGGTCCCTCCGAAGCGAAGGGTCCTTGCTTTCGTGTCGCCGCGAGTCGAGCTTGGGGTCTGGGAAGCCGACAATCTGACAAGAAGCGTCCCCTGGCCGTGTCTCGCTGGCTCCTGGGTGGCACAGAACGGCGCTGCTGCTCCCCTCCACCCTCGATGATCAAGAGCCTCGGCAGACAAGGCTCTCACCGATCCACGAGGAGGCAACGCGAGGAACGCGGTGACCTCGCGCTCTCACATGCGTTGCTCGTGGAGAATGCGGAACCGAAAAAAAATCAAGAGGGAGCACGCTGCAAACCACGTTTCGTTCCTATTGGTCCATTCCGGACAGTCTTTTCTCTCCCTCTGTCTCGATCTCGCTGTGGAAGCCAGCCTGCTGGACTACTTTCGTGGAGCCTCCGAAGCGGTTCAATAGCACATCTCACACGCGAGGGAGCCTCTCACGGAAGTGCTTACGGCGAAACTGCCGCCGCGTGGATCCGTAGATGGCAGAGTCATTTTGGAACGTGAGATAGATGTTTATTGATTCGATATCATCAAGCAGCGACGTCCCCAGCAACAGTGGCATATCGGGCGGCAGTGGCACCCGCACCAGCACCGGCACCAACACCTGCACCAGCGAGCGCGAGAGGGGCCGGCGGCCGCTGAGCTTCGCAACACGGAACACCGTGCAAGGAAAAGCTGGAGCGAGGCAATAACGCCCTTCCCGGCTCGGACAGAGACCGGGAAACCATGAGCTGTATGTAGGATATTGTTTACAAAAATGACATCATGCAGTGCATAGACTAATAGAGGGTTGGATGTATCCACGTCTTCCTGAAGAAGACGACTGGACTACTCAGTACTGCTGTAGACAAGGAGCGAGGTTGCAAATTAACAACGAACGGGATGCAGAAATCGACCCTAAACCAAACTCTGTCTGGAAGACGTAGAGTCCCCCACGTTTTCGTTCTTGTTGCAGGCACGTCTAGACTACAACAAGTTCATTTGCTACTTTTACTACATTTCACGAAATATTTTAAGTGTCACGTACGCAACCGAAGTGATGGACCACACCGAAACTTTGCAGGATATCCATGATTCAAACTTCCAAACAGAACAGCAGCGGCAAATACTCATCCCAACGCCGCGTTGAAGAAACTCCCGATATGCAGCCCTTCAAACACTCCCGGTCCCTTTTGGAGAGGTCGTCGCTTGATGAAAGCAGTGCGATACCTGCTCTTCTTCTTCCTTCCATTTCACGGCGAGGGGCGTTAGTCTGCCACTCTCCATTTTCCTCCCCAATTCGTCGTCACCACAAACTGCCACAGGACATTCACACACGTCGGAAACTTCCGCGCACCCCTACGCATCCTTATGTGCCCTCTCTCACAAGATCCAGATGCACAAAAAAACTACTGCAAGTACATGTACAACACCGCCCTTTCTTGAAGATCGCCAAGAACTCATTTCGAAAACTCGGATTTACCCCCTAAAAGCAAGCAAACAGGTCCAGCATCCAATCGAGGAGGATATACGCATGTCTTATGAAACAGGTTTACAACATTTCACACACTCTCGCCCACATCCATTGATAATGATCGTTCTTGTCAAGGAACGTGCCGACTAGGCTAGGAAGTACATACGAACAAATCAAATCACCACCTTCGTCTTTCCCCACCTCTTGGGTGAAGCCCTTTTTTTATGGCGGTAACCATAATGGTGGTCGAGTGGATCATGTTGTGCGGGGTCGAGAACCCTCACTCCGCGCAAGGGGGATGATCGCATCACGTTGCGTCAAAATGGTCAAGCACCCTCGAGGCAGTTACAACTGTCTCTGGAAGTGAATGCAACAGAAAGTAAATTAAGTCATACGCAGCTGTCATCCGTACGCAAGGAAGTTAGCTTTAAGCTTGTATGCCGAACACCCTTAGCAGGATGCAGCGCACCCTTCATGCGACTCGCCGAATATCTCACGGCGCTTCGCGCTTGGTGATGTGAGAGCCTGGTCCGGTGAGAACCCGGCGTGCTCCGTCCCGGCTTTGTAGGGATGCGNTGAGTACACCCCCACCCCCCCCCATCTATGTTTCTCAGCGAGAGGGTACAAAAAAACATCTACCTATAACTGAATGGCGCTTTGATGCATCGTTTCTGAACGGTGCACCGCCGTGGGGGGGGGGCGTACGAGAAATTACGGACAAACATCGTTCCCCTCAAGATGGGTTTTGGTTCATCCATGATGGTCTCGTCAAGTGGGCACCTCTTCCTAACGGTGCCAACGGTTGTTGTTGCTGCTGCTGCTGTCCGGGAGGGCCTCTGGCATTAAATTGCGACGTATCGCCGCTGCCGCCGAAGTTGAAGCCGAAACCGTCGCCGCCACCGACGACGGTTTCAGTGTCCGTTTCCTCGTCTCCCCCTTCGTCCGAAGACTCGTAGCCGTCCTCTCCGAAGAACCTGTCGACGATCGCCCCGGCGGCTTCTTGAAGCTCTGGATCAGCCTAAATGCCAAAGGTTCACAACAAGCGGCAACTTCAACTTTATCATCACAACTGACACGTGTTCGATTGAAGCTTGCTTGGCTGCTGCAAGAGTGCGCCGGAGATGTGCGCGAGCGGGTACAGTATTAATCTCCCCAAGGCCTGAAGTCCATAGACTGCGGCATAAATAAGAACACGGAGAAGACACACACACACAAAAGGGCCAAGACGCAAATCTCGCGAGGGACAAACCATACGGTGATGCGATCGAATAGGTGACTCCGCGCAAGCCGGACAAGGTCAAGGGGTCGAACAAATCGACACGGCTGGGGGCACGCATACCGTACAGTACCTGTCCGGAGTAGTGCACGTCGTCGATGGCCTCCAAGCCACCGGCTGATTCCACCATCCGAGGACCACCGGGAACGTTCTGGCACACCAATCGCAGAAACGAAAGCGCACACCTGCGCCAAGAACCCGAAAACGAAAAAACAAAACAAAAACAAGCATGTGTATGAATATGATATGAACTGCTATCGACACGAAGATTATTTAGGAGAAGAAGCGAACTTTGATACCAACGGAGCGTGACCTCTCATGTGTGCATCCACGTTAATACAGCCCTTCATGTGTGACTCGGAAGGCCCAAGGATTCGAGATTGTGCGCGGGTGTACCTCGCATACAAGTGAGTGATACGACACCAAAAACAGAAAGCCAGCAACGAAAGGCCATCAGGACCACCCAACCATACACCACGGGTATAAAACACCCCCAACAATACCCTGCCGCACCATACTTTAGCGCACACCGAAAAAACACCCCCTTCTCTCCTCACCGCACGTACCTAACTACCGGTGGCGACTGCGCGCGCACCAGCGCAACGTACGCGCCCATCACTCTGTCGTCCCTCGCCGCCTGCAGCAGCAGCTCCGAGTCGTGCGCCACTATGTTCCAGATCCCGTGTGCCGCCTCCTGCTGAAGGTCCAGCTGGTCCGAAAGCAAGAGCAGAGTCAAAGCCGCCGGCGAGCCCTGAGCTACCAGTGCCTCCCGGTGCTCTTGCCGCCCCGCCGCGACATTGGATGCCACCCAGGCGGCCTCCTTTACAAGAACTCTCCGCGACCGGTCCTGGACAGGCCAGGCCGTACGAGAGTTGAAAAATAGGGATGGGGCGGGAGGGTAACGGGCAAGGTACAGTAGTGGATGAGAGAGGAGGGGGCGGCATGGCGTAAGGCAAGGGGTTGTTGGAGCAAGGGTTTATTGCGGGGTGTAATGCCACTGCGTTTTTGATGCCACCGCCACTCGCTACTCTTGACCTTAGTTGTATGCATGGCGCCTTCTTGACCAAACTGTTGGAAGAGGGAAGTGCGTGTGTGTGTGCCCGTAGCATGCACAAGACAACACATGTGCCACCGCTGAGCCGGCCAGGCAGGCGTCGCGCAAAGCGCCACGACGTGGTGATCGCCGAGAGGGATGAACGATGAGCTGAACCATGGGAAGGTATTGCATAAGCTTGTGGGTAGCGCCGGGGGGCGGGGGTTCCCACAAGACTCACCGCGTGCGATACTACTACGGCCGTCAACAATAAAACATTGGTGCGACTTAACAGCGCTGTATATGGTCGAGTTTAGGCTCGTGTATCGACCGTAAACCGTAGGAGTGGATCAGAGCGAAAAAACGCCACGGAGGGGGCTTTGGGATTGATCACAGCGATAAACTCGGGTTCGGGATTGCACACAAGGGTGGAGAAGCCTCCCACCACAACATACCCACACAGAGGTGAACATGCGAACGGCATGCATCGCTTTACTCGGCACCAAAGGGTACAGTCACCTGGCTCTTAAGCACCGCGTCCAAACAAGGCAGGAACTCCTTGTGGAGCATGACCGCATCCGCCCACTCCTCCTTGCCGCTGACCATGTTTCCCAGGGAACGTAACGCCGGCGTGCAGAGAGGGTCCTGGTCGTTGGAAGGACCCCAAAATGGCGAGCACACGCAGGGGAGGGGAAACGGTCGTGTTCAGACAGAGGGCGAAAACGGTCAAGCCAGTTTTGACAGAGGGAATAGTGGGCTGCTGCTTGAGAGTCACTCATTCGAAGCGCTTGGGCAAGCGGCTTACCCTCTGGTAAAACGTATCCGAGGAAAGTGTACTCCTAGTCTTTTACTAGCATTCGACAAACTGTTCGGTGGCATCGGTTTCTCAGATGAACATCTTCGATCCGAAAACCTTCTCTTTATGCCGATTGGTCGACCTCCCTGGTGAACGACTCCGAACCACGTGTTCGAGCTCTGAACAGTAAATTGCGGGTGTAATCAAGGTGTCTGCGATCACCGATCTGTGTTGGCAGAAGGTCGAGGGTTGAACGGTTTCATTGGAGCAAGCTTTGCAAATCTACCGCAACTTGCATGAAGCTTGCGCGCGAATTTTACCATCCTTGCTCCACAGGGAAACATATCAAACGTCGACCCTTCCAAAACAGAAAAAATAAGTGCAGCGTCTTCAATGACAGCTACGTGCCATTTTTGTCTCGAAACTTCAGTACCGGTAGGTGGTTCAGAGTCGTTCACGAGGCAGACTCCGCAAAGGGATAGCAAAAAAAGAAGCATCACTCGAGAGGAAGATTTTTCAGGTTTCTACCACAAATATCCGATGCCAAAAAGCCGGTGTCAACGTCATCTCACTCAGCAGCAGTCTTGTCGAAATTGCGCCGTAACAAGGCCACGCTGCAACACAAACCCGCTGTTCACTTTCGATACAACCACATTTACAGCCAATAGAAGTTATCGACTGACCTGACCCCCGCTGTCTACGAGCGCCTCAACGAGAGCGGGCACCATGCCGACTCGAACCATCTCTGTCACCGTCTCCTCCTCCTTGGCGGTCAAAAACGCCAGGATCCACGCCGCCTCCACCCGGAGGGCTTCATCCCGAAGAGGCATAAACGGCGGTGCACCAGCTCCCGTTCCCGCCCCAGATGCCGCCGCCGCTGCTGCTGCGGCAGAGAAGTGGACGCCGCCCCTGAGGGACGCCACAAACGTTGGCGCCGCCTGCACGAAGGGCTCGCCGGGAGTCTCGTCTCCGCGGACGAGGTTGGATATCGCCCACGCCGCTGTTCGTGCAATCTCGATCAGCTGTCCGGTGGCCCAGCGGGGGAGCGGGGTGAGAGGTGGTGCTGGGGACGGCCGACAGCGGTTGGAGACTGCCCCGCGTTTTGAGGACAAAAGCAGGGATTGGATAAAAAGCGTTCTCGAGTTCAACATGAAGTCGGCGCTCGACTTCTCTTTGCGGAACGCGACCCAAACGTAGCAGCCTGGCCCGTCTCCACCCTCCATCGGAAGGGACCATCCTTGTTCACAACATTCACACATGCGGGGGGAGCAAGCGAAAGGTAGGCAAACAAAACACGCACCGGTGGATTCTGCAGCAAGCGGAACATGGGCAGCAGCGCCCCGTTGGCCCGCAGCATCCTCCTCAAGTCGTCGCTGTCGCCCGCGATGTTGCCGAGAGCCCACAGCGCCTGCTCTTGAAGAGCCGGGTTAGGCGCCGACAAAAAGCTGATGAGCTGCGGCGCGGCACCGACGATGGTCCGAGTATGCCGGCTGTAGCTGCTGGCAATGTTTGTTAGACACCTGTTTTTGAGGAAGACGAGGTTGACGTATTCAGGCATGACATCTTGGCCAAAATAACGCATGTGTTTTGAATGCACCCTTATTTCAGTGGCCTACCTTACCGGAGAGCAATAGGGCACGGTGGGTCGATAGCTTTCCAGCTCACCGGTAGCAACCAAAAGCTGCTGTCGGGCTTAACAAACACTCACCAAATTAAAACTCGAGTGAGCGCAACGGCTTGCCCGCCGCCTTGCCTAAGCCTTCCTATTGCGCTACAACTCTCTTGTCAAGGCGAATCGTTTGACGCATAGAGCGCCCCCATTCACCCCGGGCATGGCGAGATAGCGTCCCCTGAACTATGATAGACGCTCCCCGCGATAAAGACGCCTTCCTTTAAGAAAACAACGAGCTCCTTACGCAGGGAGCGCTACAACAGTTACAAGGGCCGTTATTGGTTTCTAGTCTAACTCCGAGCAAACTGAAGCCCAAAAACTCGAAAAGACATTTTTGTTCAGAACCGATTGACGTTGAATTAGACGCTTTATCGGTAGAGGCGTTTTTTGTGCTCGGCGGTGACCTGCGGGGCCTCTTGGGTATGTAGTATCGGATAGTCCGATATGTCGAAGCCCCTCGTGGCTCCTCTATGTCGGTCAATACAACTTGGTTTGAACGTGTTTGAAATTTTGGTCTCGGTAGCCGGGCAAGGAACGGAACTCACCTGACATCCCTTGGTAAATAGAACTTTTGTCGTCTATTTACCAAGAGATGTCAGGTGAGTTCCGATATTTACCCCGACGGCGAGATTGACCGAAGTGTCCACAACACGTTCAAAGTACGTTGCACTGTCCGCGAGAGAGAGAGAGAGGGAGAGGACGAGAAGAGAGAGAGGGAGAAGGAGAAATGCGCTAGGAAAAAGACAAGAGGACACAGAGCGGAGTTCAGACATGGGTTTCAGGATAATACCGGAGGGGGAGGATGCTAAATCCTACCTACACTTTGATCAGGGAGTCGCGGAAAATAAATATTTGCCGCCCCCAGACTTAAGGGAGGGACAGACTATATCCTCAACCGGGGCCCCAATACTATTTCCTATGTAAGGCCAAGTTGTCGCAGTAACTTTTTCGAAGTGGAATTCCGAAATTACGCCTTTTACGCCCAAGCCCACAAAGAGGCGGCACGAGTTCTGCGCACTTGGTTGGAAAGCACACCAACTTGTCGCTCAGCACTCGTCTCACAAAGACCCGTTTGGAATCAAACCTTCGAGACTGTACGCTACATTGCTTCTCAGAGCCAACCTTGGGGAGCTTGGGGTGTGTGTGTGTATGTCATTGACGATTCCTGGCTGGAATTCCACATGCACGAATTAGAAAGGATAGTGAAGTGTTGTATGCATACATACAGAGTACACGAGGTGGAGGACGGGTGTGAAGTGTTGAAAACATTGTTGTACATACAAAGGTAGGACAAGATACGATCTGGGCGGAGTTAACTCGCCATTGGTTCAACAGGAAGAAACCCTCTTGTGGATGTACGACCTGCTTCATTCAAAGCCATCTACGGAGTGAGGGTCTTCGTCCCTTCCCTCTCCCCTTCGGTGTGTCACTCTCTCTTCCGATACCTTGTTCGTGCTTGCCAAACATTCAAAAGAAAAAATACCGGCCTCCGCTAGTGGGGGAAGGCTACTGCGACCTGGGTCTCATTTCATTGAGGGAAGAAGCCTGTGTCCTGATGGACGTCGACGAAGAGGTCTCAAACTCCAAACTGGAAATGATGAAGTTGCTACTTCATATCCGAGGCAAATGTAGTCTGCACACGCTACTCTTTAGCCGTTCAAGTGAAGAGACAGCAGTGGAGTGTACAGCCTCGAGGATGTAATAACGTACGGGTCTCTATGAGGCGAGCACTGAGTTGTTGTTGTTGTTTTTGTTGTTGTTTCTCACATTAGCTCTAAAAAAGAAAGATTGGGAGCCCGTGGTCTCAAAACCCGGCATACACGACCCCACGAAGAAACAGAAAAAAATAGGGTACAAAAACCAACTCGGAAGAGAAACAAAATGATAGAAAGAAAGAACAGCTACCGCACCAAACGAGAAAGAGCGTCGAGGAGACCGATCAAAATAAAATAAAAGGAGAACGGGGAACGCTTCCCACACCCGCCTACTGAGTGATGCGGTGGCATTTCCCGTGGAAACCCCGGCTATCAAACCGAATTTCGACTACCATTACAACTGGCCTAAAACCAATCTGGATCAAGAACAAGACGGAGGGAGGTACAGCAGGACGTCTGAAATCCCGCTCCGTATGATACAATAGTCGGAGCAACGGGGGGCTCCGACATATCGACCTGTCGAATATCACACGCCGAACAGGCTCCCTCCCGCGGATGGGCGCCACGACCGAGTGCTGCTGTACATACACCAAACAATAGAGGACATCATTGAGCAGCGGCAACGCGGGTCTCGGCACGCACACATCTGATACTGGGGCCGCGCGGTCAAAGGCTGCAATTAACGTCGTTCGCACATGTTCGCAAAACTGGATCTAATCTACCATTCACGATCCACCGGACGTAAGCGCCGTTTGAAGACTCAATCCCCCGAACTGTGGGTCGTCCGTGGCAGCGAGCAATGTGAGCTACTGCTGTGCACTGCTGTACACTCATCGTTCAGGAGATTGGTGGATCTATGAAGGCGCGTACAGCAGTGGTTTGTGCATGTTACGGGCCCGGATTTGCGGACTTTTTCGGAAGACAGCTGCAGCCTTCTCGACAGAACGGACACCGCGTGAGCACGTGGGCATTACTTGCTGCCTGGTCCATCGAATCCTCTACACACCCATCTAGCATCTACTGCTGCTGTACCACATCAATACTATTCTCACCCAAATAATCTGTGGAAAGCACTCGCCGTGCCGCCTGTCCCGTCTTGAAACTAGAGTTGACAGAGAAAAAATGATTCGAGGCTGCATGATGTGCTGGTAGAGACAAACCATCCGTTGGGGACTTTCAACTGAAGGAACCCTAGCCCTTGGCCGCTGCTGCTGAAAGCTCGCTTGCAGCCTCGACCAGGAGGGCACACGACGGTTGTATCGGTGGACACTTGCCACGAACCCAGAAACCCCATGTTGTCTTTATTTTTGTACGTACACATGTATGCATAAGTGTACCGTATTACAAAGCGGTTGAACGTACAGCAGTAGTCGAAGAACCAACAACTTTCGCCAACGAACAAGTAGTCGGCCCTGCCTGCCACAACTCTCGTCGATGCCTACTTGCGTTGCCAGAAGTAGTCTATCTGCACCGGATATAGTCTACGCCGCATAGATACCACGCCAATAGACAACACCGCCACAGCCACTCGAAACACAGACAACTAACGCACCCCCACACTTCTCACTGACCACGTGGTCTCTAGCTGAACCTCGTCGTGAGGCGTTGAGAGGAGCTCAATCAGCCTCGGCGCCAGCCCCCCGCCTTCGACCACCTCCTCAACTGGAGGATCCTCCAGCGACAGCAGCTTCCGCAGCTCCACAAGAAACGGCAAAACCTGAGACACGGGGCGTTCCCTGACGCCCCGGATGGCCGACTCCAAGCGCTCTCTCGACCATGGCTCCTCCTGCTGCTCCTGGGCAGAGACACCGCCTGCTACGCCTGCTGCTGCTGTTGTGGATTGATGAGCTGCTGCTGCTGGTGCTGCTGCTGTTGACGAATCGAACTTACGTCGCTTTGCCAAGACGCCCTGCCTTCTCGCGGAGCGTAGCTCTTGCGCACGATCTCGACGCTTGTGGGTCTGGTTCTCAAGAAGTAGAGGTTTCGACTCACGGTTCTTGGGCGGCATTGCGACCTAGTTGTGCAATAACACGCAGCGTAACTAGCGCTGCGTCCAGAGACGGAGACGACTTGGAGTCCTGCAGAGGGGGCTCCGCAGACAGATACCGGTGTACCCTGCGTGCCCACGAACGCGGCTAAACCGGACCTGCAGCCCTGCCTGCTGTGCTCACAACAGCAATGTCAGCAGCACGGAGCAGCAGGAGAGTTGACACGCACAATCAGCGGGTGACAAGGAGAGTAAACAACGATGGACAATCGGGAGGACCAAGGGAAGAATCCGCCAAGGACGCTGCAGGCCGCCCAGCCGGCGCCCGATGTGGCTCGCGCCGATGCCCCGCAACATCAATTCGACGACACGCCCAAGTCGTCGGCTCCTCTCGGTTACCCCTTGCCGGCAACGGACGTACGAAGTGCCGCGGCCGGAGAGCACCAATACCCTGACGCCTCTCCTCATTTTGACCGCTCGGCCGACCTCCTTCCTCGCCCCGGTGCCACGGCGACCACGCCCGCGCGCTCGTCCGGCGCAAACCTTCTCCGGATGCTCCAGCCAGCAGAGGCAGCAATTCAACATCAGCAGCAGCAGCAGCACCCGCAGCACGTACCACAGCGGCTGGAGAACCAATACCAACAACGACAACTCCAACACCAGGGAATGGCCTCGCCTTCACCACCACCGTCAATCCCACGAAGAAGCAACGTCGCGGTGGAGCAGGAGCGGTTTCTCAAGAACTTCCTAGCGATCGGAGGTGACAACGACAACAACAACGGACCTGAGAGCAGCTCTCTGGCCGCACCTGCGCCGCCGCCGCCTCCGCAGCAGCAGACGCCGTTGGCCCCAGCAACACCTCCTCCGAGAGCACCACCACCACCACCGCCACCAGCATCCGAGAACAGCAGTAAGCCACACGTAAGCAGGGCCCGAAGCAAGAGCGTCGGTCAGGGCAAAGGTCGTGGCAACCGAGAGGGTAGAGGCAGAGGAGGCCGAACTCCACAGCACGGTGGGCGGGAGGCGAACGGAGGTCGAGAGGGGAGAGGCAGGGGAGTGCGAACGCCGCAGCACGGTGGGCGGGAAGCGAAAAAGGGGAAGGGTCGGGGAGGCGGTGGCGGTGGTGGCGGGAGAGGAGGAGGGGCGGCGCCGGCGGCATCACCAAAGTACGCTTGGTCCGCCTTTCAAAACTCTCCAGACCCCAAGAGCATCCCCATCCCGTCGCTCCAGCATTTCAATCTAGACTCCTCGCCTTCGGGGGAAGAATGCGCGGGGCCTGGAGTGGGAACTTCTCTAAGCTGGCGAGATACCACGGAGCAGGAGCAGCAGCAGCAGCAGCAGCGGGATACGGGTGTTGAGGGACACGATGGACCCACTTCTGGCGGGGGCTGGAGCACCCCACCCCCACCGTCAGAGAGAGCTCCAAGGACTAGGGGGGCAGAGAGCAGCAGCCGGAGCTCTGCCAAGAAGGCGGAGGATGACATCAAGAGAATGCTACGGTTGGGGTAGACTAACTTTTTGCATCAAGGGTAGGTGTAGTAGAGTGTTATATGGGGGGTTGGATAGTCCAGCCGGGTAGCTCAGCAGCAACTCCTCGTGTTGGTATCGCCGGGTCAGTCAGCCGTTGAAGTTGTTTTGGTACCTGGTTTTTGTACATCGTCTGCTATCTTTGTGTATCGTCTGTTTCATGCCTTGCTGTTGCGGTTGCACCTGTGGGATCAATTTCTGAAAGCCTGAATTTCGCGTAGAGTTTATACAGCGTACATGTCTCTCGGGCCTCTCAAGCAAGCGGGGGGCTGATGCGAACAGGCGCAAATGTATGACGGAGCACCAGTGTAGTGTGTATTTTCACAGCGCAAATGTGTTGCGGGCTCGCTCAATCATAGCTGCCAAAGGGTGATAAAGTTTGATCCAAAACGTTAGAGCTTTTTGTTGTTTTGTGGAGTCAGAGGTCTCGAGCTCTTTCGTCTCGTAGAGATACAACAGCTGTTTGTTCGAAAAAGCTCCGTCGTGGTGTTCCCGGAGGAAACGTCTCACATACACTTCGTGACACTTCTTGGCAGCGGAGCGGCAAGATCGCGCTGGGAAGGCAAGGCCTCCTGTTGATGGTTCCGGCGCCTTGCCTAGATATGTGTACTTGTGCCTTGTTTTCATTGAGTGGCTTGCGTGTTTCTCTCCTGACCGCTTTGGGTGGATAGCAGAGTCACGTGTTGATGTATATGTATGGGTGGATCCTCATGTGTCACTCTTTTCGCACCTCGATGAGCGTACACAACTACCGCAACTTTTTTTCGACCGGGTTAATGCTTGCGGATTTTGAACGTTATTAACCTCCATGAGTGACGACGGCGGCGTATTGTTGTGATGTGGATTTATTTTTATTTTGTTTGGGTCGTTCCGGCGCGCGCGAGGCCGGGCTGCATTGAACTCAAACACTGCTATAGCAATCAGTACGTCAGGAACGATGTGCTTTGTCAACCGACCATGGTACCATGGTGACCGTGTCTATGGATGACGGCTTGTGCGTGAGGGAAGAAGTGTGAACTCAACCAACCCGTGCTGGGATTCTGGTCACATGGGATGAGCGTAAATGAAGATAAAGTTTACTCTAGCTGCCGGAAGGTACGCACCACGATGATGCTCTTGTGTGGCTGAGCACCGACGTTTTCACCCGGCAAAGCGTGGCCATCTTTTGAATCCAGGTGCTGCTTCCAAGCGAGTGCGGACAGCAATTCCTGGCAACACACATGTGAACCACATGTGAAACATGCTGAAAACATATGGTGTGAGACGTGCGTGTCTTGGGAAACAGCGACTGCTTTGAACTTATCCGGAGTTAGCCCATGCACGCCCACACATTTTCCCTCGTACGTACAACGAGGAAGGATCCTATGACAGAACTTGAGAACGGCACTCTTGCACCACAAAAGGTTCGAAGAATGCAGCGAACACAACTTCTTTTGGGTCCCAAACCTAGTCTTGCTTGGTTCTCGAGCTGCTTCCAGGAGCGAAGGCCGAAAGCCCGGGGCGCACGTTCTTCAACAACTCCACGAATTCCGCGGCGAAGGCGCGATCGAATACTTGGTTAGAAAAACGCCGCGCCGACTCCCTGCCAGCGAGGCGAACAGCCTCGCTGAAAAACACACGCCCCCGTCGCTCTTCCTGCCTGCCCACCTCGTCTTCGCCTTCTTCGCCACCACCCTCCCCCGCTTGCTTCTGTCGCTCCGCGTTTCCGCCGCTGTCACGAGCATTGTTGCTTCCTCCACCCTCGCCCTGCTGCTGGAACACCAGGCCTTTTCCTTGATTAGCTTCGCCGCCCTCTCCTTCCGGTACTTGATCACCTCCTGTCCTGCTGCTGCTTCTGGCGGCCGTCGACTGCATCCGACCGTTCTCGCTGAAGACCGTCGCCATGGCCTCGGCGTATTCCTGCGGAGTCTCCGCCAGGAACCCCGTGATGCGGCCATCCGGCAGAGGGACGACAATATCCGCCGCGGGTCCCCCCGACCGATGAGCGATGGTCACCACCCCCGCGGCCTGACATCGCCCCCATATGTTTTAGGTTGAATGGGGGAGAGAAAAGAAGCGACGACAAAAGCAGCACCATGAGACATGCGATGCAAAATGATACCGGCTGCATGCACCGAAGCCTTCAACGCTTTCGGGTCTTGTCTCCCTACCAGCGTTTCAATCCTACAAAGGTTGTGGCCCTGTCCAAACGCTTGACACCTTCAAACCCGCTATCCTACGCACGCGATGGGAAACATCGAATGAAGGTCACTTTTGCTCGGCAAAACGTAGGTGCCAGAAACTGAGGCAAAATACCGGTGTCCATGGCCTCACTGGCCAGCACGGGGACCTCCCGCGTGTGAGATTTGCCAGTGCTTCGCATGTGTACCCCCCTTACGTATCAATTGTCTAGGTTGGGCATTTCTCTTCGATTTACTTTCCGTTTAGAATTGCCTTGTTCCTCGTTGCGTTCTCCATTGAAGACCTACAACCCGGGGCGAAAAAATGATTTCTTAACTTCGAACAGGGACTTCTATGTGCACTAGTGGAGATTGGTGGGGACAATGCGTATCGTTGGTGTGCAATATATGCCGTATTCACACTTGTTGTCGGGGCTCAAGTGGCGGTGCTGCAACACTCTGCTGCACTCTGTTGTACAAATGCTACCCCTGTGGTGGTGTTCTTTTCCACTCTGGTTACCCCGAGTGATTGCAAGCATGTCTACTCAGAACGTCAACAGATTTCTTTCAAGTCTTCGAGGGGGAATCATCGATCTCTACAACGCATGCGATATCCTTTGCCCTCTTCGCTCGCTCCTTCCCACCGGTAAAACGAAGTTGATAGCTTCAGAAAGGCAACACTGGCAAAAGCTATGATCGCAGCACGAAACACACCCACGCAGGATACACGCACACACCGTTTAGGCGCGACATGCTTCGGTAAAGTCTGCCACTTTCCGACGGAAGTTTCCAAGCCAGTACATGTAAAAACAACACAGAATTATACAAGTGCTAGAAAGAGGCCCAAACAACACACAATGTGCAGACGACGGCAACGACGGCAACGAAGACAAAACAACTCACCATCATCTCCACCACGCCGATCCCGAAGTGCTCGTTCCACATCGTGTGCAGCCCCACGCTGGCCCTCCCGAGCCACGCCTTGAGCTCGTCGAAGCTACAGTTCACCACAAACTCCACCCGATCCGACACCCCGAGATCGACCGCCAGCGATCGCGTCCTCTCAAGCACCGCTCGGTCGCCATCATTGCGACAACCGCCCAAGATCACCAGCCGCACATCATCAAAACAAGGTGACTCGCCGCCACGAACTCTGCCGATTGTTCGGAGGGCTGCTAGAGCCCAGACTTGCAGACCGTGATTCTTCTCTGGCCTGAACTGTCCCACCGAGAGGGCATAGCGTTCTCGGCCTTCGCTGTTGATCGGGAGGTTCTTGTGGGATGCATGGCGAGATGGGACAGCAGTGGCGCGAGGCAAGTGTAGCCGGGACAAGTTTAGATGGCGCAAAAACTAGAACTGCACCAGCTCGCGTGCGTCACCACCGGGGATCGACCTTTGAGTTCACCACCGGTAAGAATTGCGGTACAATTTGTTCGGTGGTTGGAAGGACAGCAAACTAATGCGACGAACGGGCGTGCACGGATCATGACACCTGCCGATTTTGGAACCACCGACAATCTAGTGAACAACCTTCCTAGGCGTAGCGGGTGCGCGTCTCGCCCGTCACCACCCTTACGTCGAATACATGGTTAACCCGCACCTCTCCTTCTTCTCACCTCGAGCTCTGAAGTGTCGCAAGGAGGAAATACAATGGTGGGGGGGCGAGAGTGCCTCCAAAGGGCAGCGATGTGCCCCTTTGTCCACGACGAGTTGACCAATACTCTCGACGCGAAGAAGCCGCCCGCGACCCCATACATGCACGCGAATGCGCGGTAGTATAGGAGCTTACCCCACGACACGGCCACGCTAGAGGCTATCCAGGCGCTGTTGTTGTGGGAGGGGCGCCGGTCCCGCACTCGCGAAAGCATGTCCTTTGGGGTGTGATGTTGAAGGGGGGCAGGCATGGAGGAAGTGAACGGTGGAATATTTTGAGATGAGTGATGGCGATGTAATGGAAGATCATTGCAGGGACACCCACGCGGGGTGTGTACCTGACCATTCGGTACGTTTTCCGACGTTCTGAAAGGAACGGCAAGTAATCATACTCTGGTGAGATGTCCTCACAACACCCAGCGTACGTGTTGGAACCAATCGTCGGCCACCAACGATGACTCCCTACATGAGCAGTAGTAGACAGAGTCACTGCTCCCGTTTCTCGAATGTCTGCTAAAATCTGGTCCTAGCCCACGAAACTCACCGAACTGATCGTCGGGTAGTGCACGTATGCCGCAACCGAGCACCCAGCGAGCCAGGCAACCGGAAACGAGAATGCGAATCCGGTCGTGTCGATGAACAAGTCGGGGGTTCCACGACAGAGGGCTTCGGCGGCGAGGACCATGGACGCCAAGCTCTGCGCCAGCATGGTGAACACCGGGTACAAGCTCGCATCCAAGAGCCGCCGCCTCCTAAGGTAGACGAAGCTTACCGGGAGAGCGGCGGGGTCGACGGATATGTCGAAGTGTCTCGCAACTCTCGAGAGGATGTCTTCGGGCTTGATGTCAACGTCCCCGGTGTAGATCAGCACGTGAAGAGGTGTCCCTATGTCGTCGGACAGGCGGGAAAGCGTGTGCACCGCACGCCACAGGACCCGCTCCCCTCCGCCTCCGCCGGCGCAAAACGGATGGAAAAACCCAACCGTGGTTGAACCAGGGGCAACGCCGTACCGTCGGCGCGTGCGCCATCGGCAGGCGTACACAAGTACTCTCAAGCACGCCCACGAACACACAGCAATGTATACCAGCAGTGCTGGGAGCCACATCACACACACGCAGCGCACACACGCGGACTGTGCATCCGATCATCCGATCATTCGTTGTCACAAAAGGCGGCGCAACTACTGCTGTACAACCAGCACGGACAAAAACGCCGCGAGAACCCGCGAGACAACAGACACTGCTGCGGTGCTGCAGTGCACCCTTCCAGCGCACGGCCATGGGATGGGAGCTCTCCAGGGGTAAGCACGCTAGTGTTATCCACCCCACAGCTCCGCATACTCTCATTTTCAACTGCAGCTGCGGCTGCCACCCTGAGCTGAAAGTAGAAAACAACCATGGCAATATTTTGGTTCGCCGATATTTTGTGATTCGCCGTATCCAGCAACAGGTGCAGCTTCCCTTGTAAGCGAGGGTGTTTGCGGTAGTCTACACCTGCAAACCCGCATCATAGTGCTGTGCTGGACAAACGCATCCACCTTCTGCCTTCCGCAAATAACTGTTATGTTCCACACACTCATAAAAACACAGACTTCCCAGTTTTTACCTGTGCTCTCAGAACCCAGAACAAATAATGTGCGTGCTGGTCACTTGCTGTTGGTCGCTGTAGGTGCAGTTGGACGTTCATGCTTTCTACGCTCAACACGCCACTCGTTGCCAGAACTTGAATTCTGTGTGTTCATATGATTCCGAGCCTTTCGTCGTCGCCAAACATGTAGTACTTTTCCCCATCGTATGTTATATTCTGCTTCCTTCCGCTGAGCCTTCTTGTATCTCTCTCTTCAAGCGCCGCTTCGGCGCTTGGTCTCCTCGCACTTGATACACCACGGGTACGGACCCGGTGTCATGACGTACGATGACATACAGAGCTCCTATCCATTTCCTTCACCCTTGCGATGCCCGCTAGACCGTTTCAGCTGACAGCAGTTTTGGCGCAACTCTTTCAACGTTTTTCTAGGTGTGCTATCACGGCATTCTACATGTCGTCAAGCGCCTTGCTTTTTCGCACATGGGAGCAGGTGTACATAATCGCTCGCCACTTACCACCCCTCTCGATCATTCGTGTCGCGCCGCCAGAATTCGGCGGCGGCGGGCGGGGTTTCTGGCCCTCACATGGCTTTGCTTAGTGAGGGGCCACGTCCCGAGTACACTGCTAGACTCTGGAACTGGGGTGGAACCGTCGCCGCGTCCCGTGTTCACAGCAGCCGCTGGGGCAAAGGCGAATCTGCCGTCTTGCAACGGAGGCGGCAGAAGCAGCGGCAGAAGGGTTGAATTTTCGTCGCTACCTGCGGCTACTGGCCTGCTTTCTCGCGGTGGAGGATCTTCCTTAGACCCCACCTCCGTTACAGAGCCTTCAGGCAAGAACGGCTCGACGGCATGTCTAGACCACACCAGCCATGGGCGGCTTGTCGCCGCTGGGCTCTCCGGGGGAGAGCTCTTTCATCGTAAGCGTGAGCAGCAGCAGCAGCGTCTGCAAGCGACTGCGAAGACCAACGGGGATGCGACTAGCGCCTGGCCGGAGGCAAGGCGCGTCCTCAAGCGGTGTCTGGCGAGGGCGGCGAGCGGCGGGATCCCGGGGGCCGTCGCCGGCCTCCTACAGGTCGTCACCCTCATGTGGCTGCGGACGATCGTGAACTACCAATGCCGCTACGGCACTTCCATCGTGGCCGCGGCTTCCGAGCTTTACCGTCAGGGCGGGGTCCTGCGGTTCTACCGGGGGGTCGTGTTCGCTCTCGTTTCCAATCCGATGTCAAGATTCGGGATGGCGGCGGCTAACGAGGGGGCCATGGCGCTCTCCGACGCACTCCCCATGCAGGTACGATACAGCAGTGGTATCACCACCGCCGACGCACCATGCACCAAACCCAGAAGAAATGGCCTGCGCGCACGTTTAGACGATGGAGTGGCCTCCTTCCCGCTGAAGTGCAATGTTGTTGTTGATTTCGTTGTCTTCAGCAGTCGCAACCGCTCGTGTTTTGTATCCGATGTGCACACAAACGAATGGCATGCATGCATCTCCGCTCTCGGGGTCCATCCATCATCACTTCAGGTCCCTTTCGTCTAGGAGCGTAGTTTCATTGCCCCTTCCACGAGCGTACTATATATGACTATTGATAGTTCTTTTTTTTACAGCTAACAGTAGTTCACCACACTCTCCTTGCAAAGCACATTTTACCTCGCCCAGCTTCTCACCCCCCCCCCCCTTCTCACCGCCGCGAGGTCAATGGTCCAGCGACTACGGCATGCACGACTGTAAGCCTGGTCCGGTGAGAACCCGGCGTGCTCCGTCCCGGCTTTGTAGGGATGCGAGGTCAATGGTCTAACGACTACGGC